CATTTTCACATAAACAATGCATAGGACCAAAATACTGCATTTGACCTTCAAGAAACTGCATCACTTGGCAAAAGTCTGAATTGACCTACTAACTTTGAAAAGAAGATAATTGCTGTATTAAATAAATGTATATATGTTATTATAGGAACCAATTAAGCAAATTATATCAGATTTCCTAATCCAATGATCAATGTAGTAAATGTAATATGCCCAGAACTTGAAAGCATTTAGAATCCTTCAAACCCAGGTTGGATATAATATTTTGCTGTTGTTTGCTTAGTCCTTCTACTCTCAACATAAATTTTCTAGGTTTGATGATATAAGGAATAAAAAAGAAATTAGCTAAGATCAAACAATGTTATGATTTGAACACATTGAAGCAATAACTTTACATTTGAGTACTAGTAGATAATATGAAAGTTTTGTCAGTTATTAAGTCCATTTTTTAAAAGCCCTGTTGGTGGAAGGTGTAGACTTTAATATCTTCTCCAATAGAGTTAATGAACTAACTGGGAACTATTGCATTAATTTCCTGAACCCCTTAGTGACGGGGGGTGGGGGAAAAAAGCCATTCTAATCTAATAGCTGGAGAAACTGAGTAACTAGTAACTGTACTCATTTACAAAGGAAAATTATAGCCTTAATATACCCTGAGCTGTAGATATGAAAGATACTGCATACACACACATCACCTCCTATATTTTTAAGGAAGCAATACCTGTTTCTTAAAGTACATATAAACCCTTGGTTCTATACCTTTTGGCAGAGTTGCTTCATGGCCTGACAGCGCATTCACCTTTTTAATTTACTTTTAAATAATCTTTCCCTAACTCATTCAACGTAGGATGAGACCAATCGTGAATATTCAGAATTTCTTTGTGTTGGTTATTACTTTATGGATTTTTGAATTAAAAACTCAGGCCCTGGCCTCATGGCTCAGTTGGTTGGAACATCTTCCCATGCACTGAAGGATTGCTGGTTCAATTCCTGGTCAGGACATATGCCTAGGTTTGGGGTTCAACCCCTAGCTTCAACCCCTAGGCATCGGATTGATGTTTCACAACTCTTTCTGTCTCCCTTCCTCTCTCTCTAAAATCAATATATAGGCCTTTGGATGAGAATTAAAATAAAAGCCTCAGGAAATAACTCTTTGCAAAGTACATTGAGGCATTAATTGGGAATTAAAAACCACACACACACACACACATACACTGAATTTATTTTTAAATTCCATAAAAATGAATTTGAGTCCTGGCTAGGTGGCTCCGGTGGTTGAAGCCCTGTCCCTACATCAAAGATGTTAAAGGTTTCATTCCCAGTCAGGGCATGAACAGGAGATAACCTATCAATGTTTCTCTCTCACATTGATGTTTTTCTCTCTCTCTCCCTTCCCCCCTCAATAAAAATATATCTTAATTTGACATTTCACATAGAAATTATAAACTATCATATGGTTTTGATTTCTTCAGAATTTGTGGAGTGTTTCTCTTTAATGGAAATGTTCTCAAGTTACTACTGTAAGGTTTGAGGCGCAGGAAACTGACCACCAGGGAGTTTTAAAGTAAAGTTTATTCTCCAGTATTGAGCGGGACTCATTATGGATGTAGAGAAATCAGAATTGAAGGAGCTGGGAGGGGAGATGGACCCAGCCGGGCTGCCACCTGGACATGGAGGATCAGCAGCACGTGGCTGGTCTGGGGGTCTTTTTAAGGGGAGGAACAGGAGAGGGTTGGAACCAGGGCAGAACAGGAAGGGGTGGGCTCCAGGACACTTTGGCAGGTGCTGATTGATGGCTCAATGTCTTGAGATGTCTCTGTGACAGATGCCAGTAATGTCATAACTCCGCCTACCAGTTGGGAGGAGGGAGAACCTTATAACTACTGTAGGATTGATTCTTCTATATTAAAAGAATGTTAGAGTTAGGTGATATATATATATATAATTTTATTATTTTTAACATTTATTTTATTTATTTTTTTAATTTTTTTAAGAGAGGAAGGGAGAGGGATAGAGTTGGAAACATCGATCAGCTGCCTCCTGCACAACCAAGGCACATGCCCTTGACCAGAATCAAACCCAGGATCCTTTAGTCCACATGCTCTAACCACTGAGCTAAACTGATTAGGGCATATATATTTTATTTTTAAAAAGATCATTATTTTTTTTAATGAATTTAGGACATCTGAAAACAAATTAGGAAAATATAATAATTTCAGTATTACCAAAATAGGGCTTTGTGTAATAAGTGTGACATCATGACACTGAAGTATGTATTTTTAAGCTTTAAACAGGGAAAGCTTTATGTTGGCATAGCCAATAGAAATACAATATGTAAATTAACCCATGTTATCTGTATGCTGATTGGCTTAAATTTCCTGCGTGTCACATTCTCACCACCCTACAATGAGGTATTTTATTGCTGTTCGGACATCAGATTATTACTGTAAAGATCCATATTTTTTTCTGTTTCATTCACAGATTATTACAAAGCAAATAAGTATGGGTGAGAAACAGACGTTTTTTCATTGGGAATGAATGAAAGGAAGTGGGGAGTTGTTTAAAATCTCTTATTCTTCCCAAATGGTAACATGAGGAAAGGCATGATTCTGGAGGGAGGCATCCATCCCTAAGGCGCCCAGGTGTCAGGCCATGTGGGATGCCGTGGTGTCATTGGTTCTTTCGGATGGGTGTGAGTTTTACGTATTCTTTGTATTCCTGGTGTCTTTCTTCAGTAATAACAAAGGGGAACACACACCAGAACTTTAACATTACCGACCTATTGGTAAATCGTTACTTGCAGGAAGGAAAACTTGCTCTTTAGGGTGAAAGGCGAGGAATAGTCCTTTACATTTTTTGCAGATTTATTGCCTTCCCCTATCCCCTCCCCACCCCTGTAACTTGCCAGTGCAAAGGCCAGCGGCACCGCTCCGGACCTCTCGGGGGAGAGAAAGGAGGCAACGTCCCCGGGAGGCGAGGGTCAGGGCGGAGCGGGGCGGGCGCCTGGGGCCTGGTGGCCTCCGGGGCGCGGCCCTAAGGGGGCTGGGCCTGCGGTCCCCCCACTTCACCTGCGGGAACGGGTCAAGCTCAGAGCGACCGCAGGGGTACAGAAGCCGGTTCTGGCCAGTCCGGCAGGACGGGACATGCAGCCGGCCGGGCCGGCCCCGGGAGCCGGTCCGCCCAGGCCCGCGGCCCCTGCCCGCACCCCGAGCGCGGCCGGCCGTCCCCTGCGCCGGGGAGGACGCGGCTGGAGCTCGTGGAGGCTCAGCGCGCAGGCGCCGCCGAGCCCTGCCTGGATGCTCAGTGCAAGCACTAAGGCCAAAAAAATAAAAAATAAAAAAAATAACAAATAGCCAGCGATCTATAGAAAGAAGACGCTATCGTCTGTCGGGATGCCCGGCGCCAACAGGTAGGAAGGAGGCCGTCCTCGGGGTTAAGCGTGCGGGAGGAGGGCTCCCGGCGCCGGGAGCGGCAGGGTCACCGGGAAAGCGCTCCCCCTGCCCCCCGGGGGAAGGCTTTGTGCTTTGGTTTGGTTTGGGTTTTTGTGGGTTTTGTGGGTTTTCGTTTTTTTGTGTTTTTTTTTTTTTTAACAATAAACTACACAATGGGGGCGCATTCAGACAATGCATCTTCCGCGGGGCTTAGTCAAAGCTCCATTTTTGGGAAGCGTTGCCAGACTGAGGGATCGCGGCCCGCGAGCCGCCGGAAGCGGCTCCCTTGCAGCACAGAGGCGATCTCCTCGCACCATCTTCGCGTATGTAGTGCATGTCGCCCCCCTCCTCCTCCTCCCCCCGTTATAAATCCAGGGGTGGCGGATTCCAGGTTTCGTAATGTTGCACGATGAGGTCGGTATTTACCCGGGGACGCGCCGGTGGGGGGATTAAAACCATCGGAGCAGCTTTGCCCGGTTACCATCAGCATATTCCGAGCGAGTGAAAAGTGGCAGAGGGAATATGCTGAGCGGAAATAACGGAGGAAGCCGATTTTCCCGGTGTGGTTCCCAGGCACCGAGAAGAAAATGTGCATTTTTTTTTTTTTAAATGAAGCCACTTTCGATGTGCAACTGAGATGATCAGTGTAAATGGGAAGGCTTAATTGATCAGGAAATAACAGGTTCGTGTTAAATTTATTTGAATCCAGGCATCCACGGTTTACAAATGGAAGCCCATTATTCCTCCGGGTGTGTTTCCCTGGCCAGTATTTGCATTAACCATTTTTAATACTCATGTGTGCTGAAAAGAGAAGAGATTTGCCAAAAATGGGGTGGGGTGGGAGTGGGGAAACAAAAGATTAAATCACATCAAATTCTGGGATAATTTCCTATTAATTTAGAAACCTAATGTAACTATACTCTAAGGAAGCAGCAAATACACTTATAATATGCAGCATGAATGGTGACACATGAGTTAAAAGACAAATATTTTGCAATGGTTCTTTGGATCCATGTCTACAGGGGAGGTGCCTATAAAATACTGACAGATAATAATAGACCTCAAATAAATGTAATCTCCTCTCTGTCTTCTATTATTAATCTTGAAGATTCCATTGCAACACTGGTGACTAATTCCTAGAGTGGCATATTTTATGATTGTGGAACATTGTCCCTTTTGTCTAAAAAAAAAAAAAAAAAGTATGTTCTCCAAAAGAGGAACAATTTTAAATTTATCTAGCTTGGAAAACGAATTGTCTGAACTCTCAAGAAAAAATATTAAAGCAAATCATAATATTCAAAATGAAAACTTTATTTACTTCCCATACACCAACAGCTTTGTGTTAGCACTGACATCATTCATTGCTTGTTAACTTAATACCTGATCAAGCTCTTTTTTCCCCTAGATATTCTGATGGCAACTCAAATGGAAAAAAAGAGGAAGCATGACAGCAGATTGGATCGATTCTCTTGGTGGATTACATTTTCAGTAAAATGTACGGATCTGTCTTTCCCTTGTTCCGTCTAGATCATGAGACTTGACTGAGGCTGTCTCTTTATCCTCCATCCATCTATGGCGAACTATAGCCATGCAGCTGACAACATTTTGCAAAATCTCTCTCCTCTCACAGCCTTTCTGAAGCTGACTTCCTTGGGTTTCATAATAGGAGTCAGCGTGGTGGGCAACCTTCTGATTTCCGTTCTGCTGGTGAAAGATAAGACCTTGCACAGGGCACCTTACTACTTCCTGCTGGACCTCGGCTGCTCCGATGTCCTCAGGTCTGCGATTTGTTTCCCGTTTGTGTTCAACTCCGTCAAAAACGGCTCCACCTGGACCTACGGGACCCTGACCTGCAAAGTGATCGCCTTCCTGGGCGTGTTGTCCTGCTTCCACACTGCGTTCATGCTCTTCTGCATCAGCGTCACCAGGTACCTGGCCATCGCCCACCACCGCTTCTACACCAAGCGGCTGACGTTTTGGACGTGCCTGGCCGTGATCTGCATGGTGTGGACTCTGTCCGTGGCCATGGCGTTCCCCCCGGTCTTAGATGTGGGCACCTACTCCTTCATTAGGGAGGAGGACCAGTGCACCTTCCAGCACCGCTCCTTCAGGGCCAACGACTCCTTGGGATTTATGCTGCTCCTCGCTCTCATCCTCCTCGCCACGCAGCTTGTCTACCTCAAGCTGATATTCTTTGTCCATGATCGGAGGAAAATGAAGCCGGTTCAGTTTGTGGCGGCGGTCAGCCAGAACTGGACTTTCCACGGCCCGGGAGCCAGCGGCCAAGCAGCTGCCAACTGGCTCTCGGGGTTCGGAAGGGGCCCCACGCCACCCACCTTGCTGGGCATCAGGCAGAATGCAAACCCCACAAGCAGAAGAAGGCTGCTGGTCTTAGACGAATTCAAAATGGAAAAGAGGATCAGCAGAATGTTCTACATCATGACTTTCCTCTTCCTCACCCTGTGGGGCCCCTACCTGGTGGCCTGCTACTGGAGAGTGTTTGCCAGAGGGCCTGTGGTACCGGGAGGGTTTCTGACAGCCGCTGTCTGGATGAGTTTTGCCCAAGCAGGAATCAATCCTTTTGTCTGCATCTTCTCCAACAGGGAGCTGAGACGCTGCTTCAGCACAACCCTTCTTTACTGCAGAAAGTCCAGGTTACCAAGGGAACCTTACTGTGTTATATGAAGGAGCATCTGTAAATCTTTAGCCTTCTGAAACACGGACCTTCTCTGTTAAGCAGTTGTGGCCTGCAGCCACATCTTGAGAAGAAGATCAAGAATGGGATTAGTGGTTGTAAAGATTCGGGGACCTTTCTGCAGTCTTTGCAATTGTTCACCTGTCATCCTATTTTCAATCTCAGAGTGATCCTGCTGACTGCCCCACTGGAGGTCTGAAATGAAGAAAGGACTGAACCACTGCCCTCAATTTCTTTATGTGGTTGAAAACTAGGTAATGAAATTAGCAGGTGCTAAGTATCAGTGCTAAATGCTGTGTATATCACTACTTATGAAAATAACATTTTAAAAAAAACACAAAAAAAACAAACACCTAGCATTGAACATCTTAATAAGTTAAGTTGACTTGAGGTAAATATGTTGATAAAAACTAATTTTAGACGTTTGAAGAGTTTAAAACATTTCATACTATTATTGTTTTGCAAATACTAAAATACTTGGGGACTTAAAGTACCATAATCCACTAAAGATATGCCATGAATTATTGGATTGTGACATTTTTTAAAAATCTCCTTATACGTTTGGAGGACCATTCCAAAGCAGTGTATTGGTTCCAATTAGAATTTACTTTAAAAAAAAAAGTGTTTTATTGATTTTTAGAGAGAGAGGAAGAGGGAGGGATAGAGAGATAGAAACATTGAGGAAAGAGAAACATCATTGACGGGCTGTGTCCTCACACCCCCTACTGAGGATTGAGCCACAATCCAGGCATGTGGGCTGAACAGGAATCAAACCGCTGACCACTTGATTCCTGGATCGACACTCAACTGCTGAGCCACACCAGTTGGAGCTAGCATCTACTTTTTAAAAATTAATGCATTACTATTACTAAATACCACTTTACTTACCTACTAGATAAATTGCTAGCATTGAACTGTATTATTTGATTTTTGTTGATTTGGTACAAAATTTTCCCAATTCACTTTTATTTGGCCTGGAAAGCAACATTGATGGTACAATTGAGCTGTTCCAATAATTCAGAATAAACATATGTTGCCTTGAAGAGTTATCTAATATCTTTCATCTTAGTATTGGAGCAAATAGTCAAGGGAAATCAAATCAATAACTGGTCATGTTCATGCATCTGGAAGACCTGGAAGAGCATTAATACTGTTTTCTTTTTCCTCACGTGGTTTTTAAAATTAAGGTGCATATTATTGGAATACTGAGATTGTGCTACTCATTCTAGTATGTTCTAAGAAGCAGGCAGTTGATGTGTGTTTATATTTTTAGTCAGCTGTCAAGGGGAGACCACAGCCTCAGTATGACATCCCGCACAATTTGTGAAGTGTTTATTCTACAGAAGGCACAGTCTTGTTTATACTTTCTGCACATTCAGTGTATTTGTCATTTAAATTATTTCAGATTTAACTTGTGAAAGCTTTAATATGATTTCTGGTATTTTAAAAATATATTAGAGTCTGTGAGTCTCATTCTTTAAAATACAGATGTGTGAATTTCAATATAAAGTTGCATTTGCCAAAACTTAACTGTGTAGCCTGTTATTTTTTTAAAATAAGTTTTGCAGTTTATGACAAGTGAAAATTTTTTGGGCCTGGAAAGCAAGCACAAACTAGGAAGACTAGCTTTAATATGTTTTTATTATTATTATTATTATTGCTTATTATAAGTTAGAAATTGGAAATGCACGAATGATTGGGAGCATAAATCTGATATACCAACAAGTTATATTATCTGTAAAAGCATTATTTGATAGCTTATTATAATTATCTTTCTCTTTATTTTTATAAGCCAGTAACATTTAGAGACATACCTATGTACTTGGTTAATTCAGAATTTTCATATAAATATCACATTTTAATTTGTGGCAGAGTAGAAATTTGGGATTCTAAATATTTAGCTCATAAGAATAATGGTTTACAATGAATTAATGTTATGACAAAACCAGACAAGCTGTTATTGTTTTTGTTTGTTTTTATTTGTTTGGGGGGTTTTGTGTTTAAAAAATAAGTTTAGGAATAATGGTACAGAATTTTTATTGCTGCAGCATATCTGTAAAAAGAATATAAAGATAAATAAGGAAAAATAAATGAAATGTCTCAGTGATGTATATACTATTCAGTCTGCTCATATAAGGACAACGGAAGTTGTGATTTAGTGAGGGCTCTATTAGACCTTATTTTTACTTTAAACCAAAGCTGATTGGATCTGAAACAGTCTCATGTACAACACTGGGTTGAACTAGCAATAAAGTCCCCTTGTTGCTACTAAAATCATTATCCAATAAAGGAAATGTTATCAAAAGATATTCTGGAAACATTATGTGCCCAACTTAAAAAAAAATTACACTAGAAACATTCCAATGATTATATTTATAGAGAGCAACTGGTAGAAAATTCAGCAAGGATCTTGAGGACAGAGAGAGACCAGTCACCAAGTTGTATTTTGGAATCTTAAATGCCTGTGTTATTCATGCCATACAAAAAATAACAAAAGAAATGGGAGTTAAAGTTCCTCCATCTTCACTTCCATATGAGGGATATTTCCGTCCCTTCAAGAAACCCGGAGGTGTCTTTTCATCCATTTTTATAGCTTCCAGCAAGTTAGCTTGTGAATGCCTGGGGAAAGGAAGGCATTCAGATGCCCACTCCCAGGAGCCTACCCTGGTACTCAAGCAAAGATGATAATTAACTATGAAATGGCAAGTATCTTTATTAGTTAAGTATACCACTCCTTCTATTGCCCCTTATTGGAGATGTATTATACAACCAAATCACCTAATTTATTAGCTGAAAAGTCTGGCCTCCAAAATTCAAATACAATTCAATGTGTTTATCATAATAGAGACGTATTCCTTCTCAGCCATGTAATGGAATTGTGCTGCAGCAGGTGTTACTGTAGAACCCTTGCTAGCGGGAACCAAAAATATTCACTGATATCTGTACACCATTAGGTACATTTACCGTTATCAGTTTTACTTTATTCCACCAGCATCGTAGACTGTATTGTTAGTAAAACAAACAGAAAGGATCCAGCTTATATTAGTTTCTTTAAAAAAAAAAAAAAAAAAAAAAAAGGACTATAAGATGATAAATGGTAATGTTTCAAATGCTAGCTAAACACATTAATTTAGGTAGATGGTTATCAGAATTAGGATTATTTATGATTCCAAAATCTTATGAGTTTGTTTTTCTATGCAAAACACATCACTTTTATGTCTGTGGATATTCTACAAATGTTTTGAATGGAAATTCTAGAGTCTACTAAGATAACGGTTTATTGCTGACATTTTTATTGTTCTCCACGCGGAGCATGCTAGCATGCTGTGACTTTCCCAATCCCCTCAAAATCTTTTTAAAAACCTCATTGAAATGATAGAATTGCTTAATTTTGAGGCACAAGTTCCTAATTAGTCTATAGAATGGTTAAAACGAAGATGTTATTTGTAAACGATAGGATTACATTTTTTGCCATCAGTTACAAGGAAGCACAGTCAAATACATTAAAGGGATATTGAAATTGAAGCAATGGAGAAAATATTTTGGGAGGAGGGGCTATTTTTTTGGCCTTATACTGCAGTATAACAGGCTTGAATTTTATAAAAGAATTATATAAATAAGATCTGGTTAAGGATCTTTGTGGGGTTTTTTGTTTGTTTCTTTTTTAGAAGAAGCTTTTATATCACCTCTTTTTGCCAAAGGGATGCTATCCATTAGCTTGCTCAAGCCCTTTTGATTATAAGGGTTTTAAAGCCAGATTTCCTCCCACCAGATCAGGCAGTAAATTCAAGAACTGAAACCTTGAAAGGCTGGGGAGGAAAGAAGAGAGAATGAGTTTTTCTCTGAGTGATTATAGAAAAAGGCCTCAAAAAAACCACAGGTGGTTGAGGCTTCGAATTACTCACAGTCACTGCCCGTACACCCTTGCCACCTTCTAGTGTCATCGGACAACAAAATCATCTTAAGAAAGGCAGGTTTTTCTCTTTTTAAAATTTTTTTTATTGATTTCAGAAAGGAAGGGAGAAGGAGAGAGAGAGAGAAGCATCAATAATGAGAGAGAATCATTGCTCAGCTGCCTTCTGCACACCCCACGCTGAGAATCGAGCCCCAACCTGAGCATATGCCCTGACCAGGGATGGAACCATGACCTCCTGGCTTATGAGTCGATGCTTAACCCCTGAGCCATGTTGGCTGGGTAGAAAGACAGGTTTTTAAGTTTGGCTTGCAGACAAAAAAGTTTCCTTTTTCTCTGTGTTGGGAAAATAATAGATTCTTGATACAAATATTAAAATTGATACTGTAATGCATGCACTGGTTTATGGGGTTTTGAATAGACAATAAAATAGCATTTAACTTATATGGATAGTCAAGATCACGAGGTGAAGAAGTAAATCATTTTGTTTTCTCCTCCACTAAAAAAAAAAAAAAAAAAAAGTTGAGAATGTTAATTTTGTCCCAAGGATAAAAAGACTTTTTGATCATTTTAGTAAGCAATTTTACTTACTTGTCATTCAATCAGTAATCATTTCCAGCATGTATGTTCTTGGGCAAGTTACTTAACCCTCTATGTCTCGTCAATAAAAAGGAGGTTACACACATCCTGGGGTTACTGAGTGGACTCGGTGAATGCATCCTTGTGAGGCCCTTAAAAGAGACCCTGGCATCTTTAGTCCTGCTCTTTTACTGGCTGCCTCCTATTGTTCACCCTCTAGCAGCAGAGACACAAATGATGAGACAATGTGATAAATGCTGCATGTGAGATAAGTGTTAAAGAAACACAGACAAGCAATTAACTCTGTGAAGATGGGAGGAGGAAGGTGATTTCAGACAGAGAAAATCAAATGAGCAAAAGGCAAATAAAGAGATTTGAATGTTCAGGGTATGTTCAACATAGAGATCCACTACTCAGGGACATTTCATGTGGTGTGGCTGCAGCTTTGATACCTAGAAGGGAAGGACCAACATGCCATAAAGGTTAAAAAACCACAAG